TGTATGCATATTTACAAAATTTCTTACGATGTTGCTTGTCTGACTCTTTAATTTTAAGTTTTAGCATGGAAGACTTGCAAAGTTGCTTTAGGACAGTGTTTCTCAACCTTGGTAGCTTTAAGATGTGTGGACTTCAACTCTGGGGAATTCTGGGAGTTGAAGTCCGCACATTTTAAAGCTGCCAAGGTTGAGAAACACTGCTTTAGGAGCTCTGCTAACTATGTATGGAATGCCAAAGCTCTGGGAATATTTCCTGATTAAACTTTTTTCCCCCCAGAGGATGGGATTCATGTCCATAACCTGGACAATGTTCTAACCAATATGGGCATTTACCTAACAGATGATGACATCAAGGAAGCTCTGAATTCTGCAACTCCAAATGGTGAGGCTTTTAAATATTTTATATTACTTTCATTAAGGCTCACATGAGGTGTGTTAAATTAAACAAAATGCAATTGCATGTTCTTCTACTCTAGTTTGTTTTTATTCACTTAAGGTAGTTTTGAGCAATGCAACCCTGGTAGTGGGACAAGAGGAAACCCCCTGTAAATCACATGGAGCCATAAATGAATCCTTACCGTTGGCACTAATTCCTGAATTATCCTTGGATCAATGGTTTTCACCGACAAGGATATTCTATTTCAAGCAGCTCTTGGTGCAGAAGCAGTACTTGATCTGTTCCTTGCATTTTAAGGGGCCGTCTGATCTCTCATTGAAAGGAGGTTGCTCTGTCAAGCCCTCCAGAACTTCAGGTTTAGCTGTGGCAGGCAGTGTGAGAGGACCAGATTTAGGCCAGCTGATGCCCTAAACACAGCCCAATTATCTGCCCCTCAACAGAAGCAAAACTCTCATGCCATGAGACGGAAACAAGTGTGATATCTGATGACACCTTCCAACCAAACTTTTAAACTTGAGTCACTCACCAGGCCAAAGAAAACTTGTTTTAACACTGCAGATTATAATTGAACACGGCAGATAAGAACAATTACCAAAAAATGGACTAAAGTCAAGTGTGGCAGTGAAAGAGTTAAGGGCCTGATAGCTAGGGGGGGAAACTCCGTGGTGCCCCCCTCCCCTTGGGGCCCTAACCATGGGCTTATTTTGCTTAATGGTTAATCCATGTTACTCCATGACTGAGTAAAGATTCTGAGTGAAGAATTCAAATTCCCATAGGAGCTTGGAAAGGAAGGTTGATGGACCTTTCTGGCAAGCACAGAAACACTAACCATATAATCTGCATAATTGTTTTCAGAAAGGGAAGGGATGTATTTTAGGCACCCCACTGAGGAGTATAGGATGAGATGCTCCTCTCTGGCTAGCAAGCTGAGAGTCCTCTGTGCTAAGCTTTAGACCTGGAAGGAGAAGTACTGATTGCTTGTTGGTTCTCTGCAAGGGCTACAGATTTGCAGGCATGTAAACTGTGATGTCTCCAAACCAAATCCAATCAAAACAACCCTGAAAAAACCAAATCCAATCAAAACAACCCCGATCAATCCCAGCTGCATTTTCAAGTGGAATCAGAAGACTTTGGGGATGAAAAAAGGCTAGTTGTCTGAAAGTACCTCCAACTGCAAGCATTGTATTCCACCCCATACCCTCATTGGTATGGGAGGAGGCGGGGGATAGTGTTTTCATGTTCTTAAGATCCCTTGGTGTGGCAAAAGCTAATTCATTTGCAGAAAGCTGGGCAGCCTGGTGACCTCTAGGTGTTTTGGTTGAACTTCCTTACTTCCTGGGCTGATGGGAGTGGGAGGCCACCAAATTACCTATGCTTGCCTTTGTATTTAGAATATGGATAAATGCCATTATTCAAAAAGGATGGAGAGCTAGGAAGCTTAGGGGCAGGGGTGTCTGTGGGGAGGACCAAAAACGTCAAGATGGGGCCATGACCATGCAGTTGGAGTGCTGCTCCTGTTTTATGTGCAACACATATAAAAAAGGAGTGCAGCTGGCATCTTGACTTTTTTAACACCCCACCCCCCTGTGGACACTCCTGCTTTGGGGAAAAGAAGAGGGTCAAAGAATATCAGTGTGCAGCATCTCTAGAAATTAACATTATTCTTAAGAAGTCATTGGAATACAGGCCTGGAACTTGGAGTAGAAAATTAGTTCCAAACTGATTTTGGAAGTTCAATGATTGAGAGAAGCTGAACAAAAGAGAGATATGGGTTACAAGGAGATATGTGATGTGAGGAAACTGAAGGGAATACACAAGTGAAAAAAAAAAAGTTATTTGTTGATTCAGCCTACTCCACATTACCACACACATTCCCACTTCCCCAGGATGTGTTAGGGTTATAATTCCTAACATTTGCTGTAGATGTGCATTTCTAACACATCTGAATAATTCCAGGTTCAGGAACGGTTCTGTTATTTTTATGCATCTTTGAGATGCAAGTCACAATAGCCTCGATTCTGCTTTCCTGCCCAGCTGGGCTAATAACTTCCCCATCTTGTCTTGCAGAGGATGGAAAAGTTAACAGTCATTGGAATACAGGCCTGGAACTTGGAGTAGAAAATTAGTTCCAATTCAGGAACGGTTCTGTTATTTTTATGCATCTTTGAGATGCAAGTCACAATAGCCTCGATTCTGCTTTCCTGCCCAGCTGGGCTAATAACTTCCCCATCTTGTCTTGCAGAGGATGGAAAAGTTAACCTGGATGATTTCATGAGAGGGGTGAAGAATGTGAAGCTCATATTAAGCGCAGAAGGTAAGTCCCTGGGGAGTTTGAAATTATAACAGACTGAAGGATGGTGAGGTGTTGCTGTTCTTACATTCTCCAGGTAATGAGTAAAACCTTATTTTTATAGCTTTGAACAATGTAGCCACTGGTTGTAAATTTTACACTTTTATGTTATTTTATTTTCTGATCTATGACTGAAATAAAGGTATTATTAGTGTTGTTGTTATTACTACTGTGAAAAAGGTGACAGATTTTTTTGCAGGAGTTGGATATTAGCCTTTTTCAAGATCCACTCTGGAGTCATTAGGCAAACCACACTCTCCCCTTTGCCCCCACCTGATCCGCTCTGCTCCACCTGTCAGGTTTCTACGCGTAATGCACTGCTAAGGAGATGGAGCTGTGTGAGCGTTTGAAACCAAGTACTTAAAACAGGAGTGCTCCTGTGAAAAGGCTTGTCCAAGTTAGTAGTGAACAGGTCACCACTGAGCAGATTAAGAACAGTCTCCTGTGAAAATGAAAATTGGTGGAAATGAAAATGAAGCCAGATTACAAAAATATCGTTTTCCATATTTCAGTCTTTCCCTCTGCTTCGGCTATGGTGATGGACTAATAATCTGTCTGGATCATTCCCCTTGTTTGCCACAACTCCTGATTT